TCCCGCCGGCCTTGGGGCCCCGGTGGGGAGCAGGGGGCTGATTAGCCGAGGAGCAGGGGTGGGGCCAGCGGGGCCCAGGGAGTGACTCACACGCGCTGCTCGCCCAGTCCAGGGGCCCGAGCCCGCTCCCAGCCCGAGCTGCGCACTGGCCAGGCCAGGCAAGTGCCCTGGGCTTGGCATGACGACCCCGGGGCGCCGAGGGCGGGGCTGAAGCCCAGTGCGGTGGTGGAGGGCGGTAAGCGGCGGGCCTGGAGACACCCCTAGAGTGGGGGGTGGGGGTGGGGCACCCCCAGGCCCCGCCTGTACCTGCACTCAGCAGGCAAGTCGGGCCTGACTACTGCAGCTGGCCTCCCCTGGGCGCCAGGCAGCTCCGCTAAGGTATCCCAGCGCTGCCCCTTGGTCCCAGTTCGACTTGACCTGCCCCTTCCTTGCTGTCCTGTGCAGAGTTGTGCCCAGGCTTCTGTGGGCCCCTCATGGATGGCCTTTGCCCCCTGGATTGGGGGCCCGGGCTGTAGTTCCCTGCCGGGGTGGGTGTCTTGGCCCCAGCCCCCCCAGTCCCAGACCCCAGGGCTCCAGCCTGCCCACTTCAGGACCATCCCTGGGTGGAAATGGCATTTTCTCTTGGCCGGGCTACAGCGACTGTGTTGTCTGTGTGTTCCAGCACTTCCTTTGGGGAGGGCAGGGCAGGTAACTGGACTCCCGGGGACCCTCGTTTGCCCTCCCCATGGCTCACCCCTCTTCCCCTGTCTCTTTGATCCTCTTCCTGTGCTGGTCCCCAGGACAGAATGACGGAGAACATGAAGGAGTGCCTGTCGCAGACCAAGGCTGCGGTGGGGGACATGGTGACGGTGGTGAAGACAGAGGTCTGCTCCCCACTCCTCGACCAGCAGTATGGCCAGCCCTGGTGAGGCCCCTGTGTGGGGACGGGAGGGACGAGGGCGTCGTGGGCTGGCTTGGTTGGGGACCCTGGAAAAGCAGCTTCCCCTTGTAGCCCATCTTCTTGAACCCTGCTCCTGGCAGCAGGCATGAGGACAGGCTCTTGAGCAAGCCAAGCAGGGGCCCACGCCGCCTGGGCCCAGGTCTCAGGGTTCCTGCCCTGCCTGGGAGAGAGCAGATGGCTGGCTGGGCTTCCCCCATGCTCCCCGGCTCCCCGTGGCCTCCAGGCTGGGCCCCAGCTTCGCTCCCATCAGCTTCTCCCTCAATGACGGCTTCCTTGCTGTCTTTACTGGCCCCTGCGCTGGCCAGCTCTAGGAGACCAGACCCATCCGCCATGGACGTCGAGCCCAAGAAACTGAAGGGGAAGCGTGACCTCATCATGCCCAAGAGCTTCCAGCAAGTGGATTTCTGGTGTAAGTGGAACTCGGGGCCCTGGGCCACTCCTCCCATCCCCCCACCCCCACCCCATCACCCCGTTCCTCCATTTGCAGCCATAATACCAAAGAGAGACAACACCTCATGGGCCAGCCCTCAGTTCCTCTTCCTCCTCTGCCGCTGGGGTGGTTATTATTGGTCCCATTTCACAGGTGCGGAAGCCAGGCGTGATGAGGGCTAGGGACCTGTCTGCCGCAGGTGCAAGAGCACAGCACCATTGCAATTGAGACCCGGCGCCCTCTGACTCCAGAGTCCAGCTAGCACTTTGGTTCTTGCGCATCTCACAACAGAGCCTCCTGAGGTTGTCAGCAGTGCCTGTCCTGGGGAGGGTAATAGACTGTTGGTATTGACCATGCAGGGGCCTGTAGCTGGCTGGCCCAGGGTCAGAGCTGGGGTCCCCAAGTCCCACGCATTAGGCTTCCCACACACCCCAAGTCCCCTCTATGGATGGTGTCCCAGCTGCCCACCACTGAGACACGTCCTCCTCTTTCTTCCCTTCAGTCTGTGAGTCCTGCCAGGAGTACTTTGTGGATGAGTGCCCAAACCATGGCCCCCCGGTGTTTGTGTCGGATACCCCGGTGCCCATGGGCATCCCAGACCGGGCGGCCCTCACCATCCCCCAGGGCATGGAGGTGGTCAAGGAGGCCAGTGGCGAGAACGACGTGCGGTGCATCAGCGAGGTCATCCCCAAGGGGCACATCTTCGGCCCGTACGAGGGACAGATCTCCACGCAGGACAAGTCGGCTGGCTTCTTCTCCTGGCTGGTGAGCTTCCCGGGCCTGTTCGAAGGGAGAGGGTGTCAGGAGCGCGGGAGGGAACCAGCCAGGGGAGCCAGACCCTGGCCCAGCCTTCTCACCCAGATACGTACATGGTGGATGGTGGTTCTGGCGTCCTGTTGTTCAGCCTGGGTGGCTGGACCCCACCTGGCAGAAGTGAGTGGGGGTCCGAAGAGGGCACAGGAGAGTTGGGCTGGTTTTCCCGGGCTGCCTGTGTGTGTGTGTGTGTGTCTGTGGGAAGAACACGCTATTCCATATGAAAGCAGCAGTGGGCAGGCTAGGTGCTAAGGGAAAGCATGAACCTGAAGGCAGCACCTTGGCCACTGGACAAGTGCGTGCACAGGTGGACATCGGGGCTCTGAGAACACCTCTGAGAACACCTCTGCAGAAGAAATGGCCATGCTCACAGTGCCTGGCGATTTGGGTCCTAGAGCCCAGGTCCACACCCACAGCTAGCTCTGCTCCTAACCATCCTTCCTGTGTGACCTTGGTCAAGCCACTCAACCTCTCTGTGCTTGCTTTGTAGCACAACGGTGGTCGGTGCTGTGTGGGAAGATTAAATGAGTCTGCACTAGAAACCTCAGCACCTGCTTGTACTTAATAAGTGTTCAGGAACTATCGGGATTATTATGATTGTTACCGTGATGATGATGATCATGATGATTCATTAGCCTGGTTGAAGGACCCAGGAAGGCTTGCTTTAGCGCATGGCTTCATCCCGGAGTAACAGTTGATTCTAGAAACCAGAATCAGAATGGCTGTGGTCCACTTGGTTCCGACTCCTGGCCGCCCACGGTCTTGCAGAGCAGAGCTGTGGTGTGTGGCGCTCTCAGGCGCTGTGATCTTTCAGAAGCCGGTTGTCAGGACTTTCTTCAGAGGCACTTCTGGGTAGATTGAACGCACCACCCTTGTAGGGAGCAGCCGAACATGGGAGTGGTTGCATGATCAAGGGGCTCCTGGCGTCTTGGAAGGAGGGACAGACAACTGTTTGGTGGAGAGCTGGACGGTGACCTTTCAGAGGGACATGGACTTGACAGTCTGGTGTGGCGGCAGCAAGGAGTGTCAGAGGCAAGTGGCCAGGGGCCGGCCGGAGGGGAAGGCAGGAGTAGACCCCACAGGTGACCTGATGATATTTATGCCTTGAAGGGGTCCATTTGGCTGCAGCTGAAGAACTCATCAAAGGAGTCATTGGTCAAGGGGAATGCCTACAGCCTACTTAGAGGGCTGTGCCAGGGCCCCCTCGTGGCACGGTAGCTAAAGTGCTTAGCGTTACGACCTGGCAGTTGGGTGGCAGGGACTCACCAGCTGCTCCAGGGGAGAATGATGTGGCAGTGGGAGTTCTGTAGGGATCACAGGCTTGGCAGCCCTAGGGGGCCAGCCCTGTTCTGTCCCATCGGGTCGCTCTGACGCAGAACAGGCTCCAGCACCACGGGGTGGGGTAGCTCTCTAAGTCAGGGGAGGGAGCCAAGGGAACTGGGCTGTGGACTATTTCAGAGATGACGGACAGGGGGCACACGTGGAACTAAGGAAGGGAGGTGGGAAGTTCCCATGACAACTCTGCTTCCTGCCACCCAGCAGGTCAGTGATGGTGCCTTTCTCCAAGTGGGGGGGTGGGCACTGGAAGGGGACCAGGAAAAGACGGCTGATTCTGGTTTTACCCTTGGTGAGTTTGGCACGATGTCACCATATCCAAGCGGTGGCATCGGGTAGGCAGCTGAATATACCGGTTTGGAAGCTTAGAGGAGGCTTAAAGATGTCATTTGGTGACTCACCTGTGCGTAGGTACGGTGAAGTGTGTTAGATGTTATGCTAACTGTAAGATTGGCAGTTCAAACTCACCAACCTCTCCCAACAGTGAACAGGGAGGCTGCCTGCTTCTGTAAAGATTCATTGTCACAGAGGTCCTAAGGAGCATCTCCTCTGTCCTGTAGGGTCCTTACGACTTGGAACGGATGCGATGGTGACTGGTTTTGTGTGTGTATGTGCGCGCGCTCGCGCGTGGTTGGGGTGAGAGGAGGCGTTTGGTTTCAGGTGATCAGCTGGGCCAGGGGTCTGTCTGGATGGGAGCTGCTGGGGAGAAGGGGCCTCCTCTGCATGAGCGCTGAGGCACTTCAGCAGTGGGTGGGCTGGAAGGGGTGGGCAAAGCTGCAGAAGAGGCAGGCAGAGGGAGGCCGGAGGGACCCCGGAGAACGTGTGCCGTGGAAGCAAAGGGAAGCCAGAGAACTGCTGCCAGGCCCCGTGTGCTCAAAGTCAAGCAAGAGAACCTGTGAAAACCATCGGTTGATGGAGTGTCTGGGAGGCCAGTGTGACTTAGCCAGAGCTGTTAGCATCAAGGGGTGCTTCCCCAGGGGCTGGGCTTGCTCCCCAGGGGCCGTTGGCCAGTGTCTGGAGACACTTTGGGGGAGGGGGTACCAAATGGAAGAGCGGACGCTAGTGGCATCTTGCATCTTGAGGGTGGAGGCCAGAGGTGCTCAATATCCTGTAGTACTTGGGGCAGCTCCCCCCTAAAAGGATCCAGCTCTAGACGGCCACCACTCTGAGGTGGGTCGAGAAGCCCCTGCAGAGAAGTGATGGGGTGGGAGACCTCCTTTTCAGTAAGGGGATGGCGAGGGCCAAGATCTCAGAAGCGGGAGGAAGATGTGGCCCCAGGGAGTTCGTTTCATCTGAAAAGTGAGAGTTGATCACCCCCAGAAAGACACTGGCCCTGAGGCGCTGGTGCTGGCATCCGTGCAAACTCTGATGGTGACACAGTGCCCGGAGGTGACCCGTGTCACCGGACTTTACATCCCCCAATGGTTGGGGTAGGTAGCAAATATTTTGCATGACACAGGGGGTCAGAGAGACACTGGGGGTGTGGGGTGTTCTGTGGAGGCAGCGGTTGGGTGTAGAACAGAGGTGGACGGTCGATGTGCTTCGGTGGTCCCTGGAGGTTTGGCATGTGCAATGGAAGTATCGCTTTCACCCCCCCAGCGACGGTCCAGGCGCTAAGAGAGGATGGAGGTGGCTGGGCGCACCTCAGGGAGCTGTGGTTGGCCGAAACCCAGCCCCCAAAGACACCCACGTGCAAGTCCCTGGGAATTGTGAGCACTGCTGTTGTTCAGTACCCTTGAATCACTTCTGACTCGGCACGGCCACAAGCACAACAGAAGCAAGCGCCTCCCAGCCCTGCGCCCTCCTTAACAGCCGTTGCTGGCTCTCAGCCCCGTGTTGCAGCCACTGTGTCAGCCCATCTCCTGGTGGGTCTTTTCCTCTGCACGCACCCTCTCCTTTACCAAGCATGGCGTCCTTCGCAGAGACCGGTGTCTGCTGGTCACAGGTCCAAAGTACCGGAGCTGTCATCTCACGATCCCTCACTTCTAGGGAGCCTTTGGACTGCTGGACTCCTTCCCAGACAGATTGTTCATTCTCTGGCAGTTCGTCGTGTGCCCAGTTATCCTTGTCAACACCGTGATTCAAAGGCCTCGGCTCGCCTCTGACCATTCATGCTCACTGTCCAGCTTTCACGTGTATCCGAGGTGATGGGGAGCACTCTGGCTTGGCTCAGGCCCACCTTAGTCCTCCACGTGGCATCCTTGCCCTTCAGCCCTGTAAAGAGGTCCAGTGCAGGAGATTTACCCCATGCAATGGGTCGTTGAGTCTCTCGACTGCTGCTTCCAGGAGCAATGATTGTGGATCCAAGCAAGATAAAACTTCAGTCTTGCCTGTTTATCGTGAGGCTGTTGTGACTACATTACCTTACATGACAGGTACAATGAAGTAGGATCGTATAATAGGGATAGATCCTAGTTTTTCTGATGGGCCTACTGTAACCACCGGGGTCCTTATAATAGGGAGGCAGGTGGGTCAGGGTCAGATGGAGCGTTTAGAAGAAGCTTCCCTGATGGCCTCCTGAAGATGGGGGTTGGGGCCACAAGCTGAGGAATGCAGGTGGCCTTGAGAAGCTAGAAAAGGCTCCCCTGCAGCCTCACCAGTGCCTGATTTTAGGACTGGCTGAGAAGCCGCTGTGGTATAGTGGTTATGCTTGGGGCTACGAACCATAAGGCCAGCAGTTCAAAACCACCAGCTGCTCTGAGAGACGGGGTTTTCTACACCCCTACAGAGCTACACTGTCGGAAACTGACAGGGGCAGTTGTACCCACGTACCCTGCCCTGTGGGGTGACCATGAGTTCCATCCACTTGATGGTGGTGAGTGAGCTCTCCAGGGCTCTACATGGACGCATTTATGTCGTTCAGTCATTAAGTCTGCGATCATCGGTTGCAGCTGTGATAGGAAACGGCTGGGAGGTGGCTGGGGCATTTGGCACAGAACACCTGCTAAAATGTGCAGCAGGTGCAGGGCAGTGAGGTGAGGTTGAGGAGAGCAGAGAAGGGGAGCCCAGGCAGGCAGAGGAACATTTGAGGTGCCAGTGAGATGCCCAGGTGGCATAGTAGGTTATACATTGGGCTGCTAGTCAGCAGTTCAAAACCACCAGCTCCATCCATGGGTGAAAGATGAGGCTTTACTCCCATAAGGCATGTGCTAGTCTGGGTGGACTGGAGAAACAAATCCAAAGAAACTCATGTGTAAAAGAGAGGGTTTTATATAAAGGGTAAGTGTACATCAAGAAAGCATCCCAACCCAGTCTAGTCCAAGCCCATAAGTCCAACATGAACCCATATGTCTGACACCAATCTACAAAGTCCTCCGCAAAACCACAAACCACATTCAATGGCGCTGGATGCAGGACGATCACAGGCCAATGGGTAGAACGTTTTTGAATCCAGTGGAGGTATAAGCATCTCAGCGCTGGCAGGGGTCTCCGTGCGGCTTCTCCAGCACCCAGGGCTTCATCGGGGTAGGTCCATGTGGCTTCTCTTCAGGAATGTCTCGCAGGAAGTGAGCCTTGCCAACTGAGGCAGAGAACTAGCCAAGGCAGCTGCAACTGGTCCGACCATGAGAGAGCAAGAGACCAGAGAACCAGAAGGGCAAGGCTCGCCAAGCCATTTA